CTCTAATATTAATATTAAGTCTAATTAAGGTGGCTCAAAGTTGTACTTTCATTTTTTTACACCCTTTCTTCTGTGGTTTGTTGTTTTCATGTCTTTTATTTATGTTTACTTGAAATTGGTATCAGTAAAATGCCCAACCATTTAAAACCATCCTAATTAATAACAGGGTTCTTGCTAAGTTTTTTCATAGGAGGTAAAAAATAAGAAATAGCAGGTAACTTTGTTACCTTCTCCCCATGCTGGGGGTGTGCGGGCCGCAAAAGCTCACACCGGGGTCTGGGGGTAGGTTTTCATTGTGTGGACGGCATTTTGTCAACTGTGATGTTTCTTAATAAATGCTGGGCCTTTTTGTTTGGCCGCAAGGTTGAAAAAACCAGGATTTCTTCAACATAAAGTGTATTTTCAAACTGGTAACATATGACATGTGATAGATATCTTCACAGCATTGCAATTGGTTGAAGGGAGACAAGAAATATTTTTCCAAAAAATTGAAAAAATTGTTGGATAACTTTGGTAAATATTTCAGTCCCAGGTTTTATTGAAATAGCCAGTAACATTTACTTGAACAGCCGGTAAAAATAACTGGTTACCAGCTCTTAGCAAGATCCCTGTAGTAAAGATTTTGTAAATTGCACAAAAGTGGTTAAAAACCCAAGCAGTACAGAGTGAAAGTTCAACAAGTGTAAAACAGAATTACCCTGAGCTATTGGAATAAGACAGTGTAACATTTAGTAAGAGATCTGTAATTTGAACTGTGATTTAATACAAAAGAATCTCACACTATCTGTTATTTATATTTTCATGCATCCCACAAAAGTGCTTTGTTTTGGTATTAGCACCCGTCATGAGATGGTAAAAAAGGGCTGAATGATTTTGTACTGTGGGGCATGTCATCTCAGTACAAAAGTCTGTACTTGAGCCTACATGGCCCACCTAGCCAGAGCCTATCTTTGGTTTAATTTCCATGTCCCATAAAGTGACTAGGAGTTAATTACCTGACTCCCCCCTGGATGGGATGCTAGTCCATTGCAAGGTTACATGTACTCCCCAGCATTTCATCAGGCTTTCCTGACAGTTAGCTGGTTACTATACCCATTTATACTCCATGAATAAAGGCTGATAGTTTCTAAAGAAACTGTTTGGGGTGTGTCGGTGGGGGTTAAACGAAATAATTTGAATATATCAACAAAGTTGAAATGGAATATTATGAATTGTAAAGCGCTTTGGTCAATTAGTGGAGTTAGAGCTATATAAGTTATGTTAAATTAAATTAAATGAATATATCAACTTTGTTGATATATTCAAATCATTTATACTCCAGCATGGAGACTGAGTCACTGTGAGAGTAAAGTGTTTTGTCTAAGAACATTATCCAGCTAGGTCTTGAACCCAGACCTCTCAATCCAGGGTCCAGTACACTGACCATTAGTCCACTGCATCAATACACCTTACCAGTACCCCCCTTAAGGGCATGCAGGTTCACATTATACACTCAGGTTTCTTTGTATTTAGGACAAGACTTTTACAAATGCTGCCAACTGCATCCCAAAAGGCTGCCAATTGGATACACCTCATAGATCAAAATACCTTCAGAATCAGCAGCATGGAACTTGCTTTATATGTGGTAAATGACCCTCTGTTGAGCCAAAAATCAGTGTAACTTGGCCACAATAATTGGACTCATGCACCTGTAACCCTTTGAGCTCCAAGACATGCTGCACAATTCTGACTATGCTGAAGGTTTTGAACAAAGTATCATTAGCCCTAGTCACCAAACAAACAGCTGGTGGTGATATTATACTGTCTACTAGTTCTTAATTTGGTCCTAGTACAGACTTTACTAAATACTACTATCCATGTCTAATTCTGTAATTTCAATTTCTTGTAGGTGTTTAAACATGTTATGAAGACTGGTGGTGACAACTGTACATTAACATCAGATGAAATTGGCTTTGAAACTGAAGAACTTTTGGTTGGAAGTAAGGTATGCTAAGGATTGATGAAAACGTTGTTATTTTTCAGTTTGTCACTGTTAATTAATTGTTGATAAAAATTCTGATAAAATTCTATTCTTAGTATTTTGATGTTTTCCAAATATGTACTTTGTAAAAGATCAAATTATGTTGTGGTTACAAACTAAGTCAAGAGCCCAAAGGTCAGCTACATCACTTAGTTTGACTAGTTTGCCCATCTTTGGTAACTTAGATTTAAGTTCTCAATCAGGGCATCAGCCATTCGTGTTAATTTTCTAACCTCATTTTGCCTGTTTTATTTATTGATGTTAATGATAACCATCGGTCCTGCAATTAAATTCTTATTTTAAAAGAATGGAAAATGTTTCTGAATTTACTTTGCTCGACGTTGCTCAAGTGTACTTAATTTCAAACAGTTAATTTTAAAACTGAAGTTAATAACTGTAACAGTTATCCCAATTACAATAAACAGATCTGTGACTCTTAACAGGGGTTTTACAAATACAAGCAGCCTGTCAAAATGAGGCCCTTTTTTTTTCAAATGCTCGTTTACAGGCGATACATTGTAGGTAAAATTGACCTGTAGGCGAGATGATTTGTGGGTGAAAATTACCTGTAGGAAAGATGACTTATAGGTGAAATCGATCTATATGCGGCATGACTTGTGGGTGAAACTGATCTGTAGGCGAGATGACTCGTAGGTGAACATGACCTGTAGCCGGGATGACTTGTGGGTGGAAGAAATCTGTTGGCGGGATGACTTGTGGGTGAAAATTACCTGTAAGCGAGCTGACTTGTGGGTGAAAGTGATTTGTAGGCGACTTGTGGTTGAAAATGACCCGTTGGCTATGTAACTTTTGGGCAAGGGTTGACCAATCAAATCGGAGCTGACTGCGGTTTCTGCGCCATGAAGTAATTACAAATACTGTCTATATCCTCATGGATTGGGGTTAATTCGTGACAGATTAATTCGCCCCTATTCCGACCCTTTCCAAGGGTGGAAGAGCCACCTTTTGTTTATGCAGGGGCCCAATGGCAATAAAGAATAAATTTCACGCGTATATTTGAAGTTCTCAAAAAATTGCTCAAGGCCAATTTATTGAACTTTGAAAATACAAGTGAAATTAATCCTTAATTACTCGAGAACATTTGCGATTACGGATATTTTACCCGTAGAACATACAGGGAACTATGTTCCAAACCTGTAACAGTTCCCCTGAGCTGTGTTCTCAAGAATGATTAGTTCCAGCCCAATCACTTCCATTCTTTGAGTCTCTTTAATGTAACCACCTCGTTCTACGATGAATGTCGTAAATTACATTCAAGGTGTTTGCCTTTGATGAAAGCGGCCTTATGAATGAACTGTTTCTTGAAAGTTTCGCTAAGAAGTAATCCCTCTTTGACCCTCTCCGTGTTCCTTTGTTTAACAGGCAAGTAGTCACGTGAACAAGTACTGCCGATCCGAGCTGAAAGGAATGGAGAGTATTGTCTGTTCTGGTCACATGACCATACATCGTAATGTTGAGCTCGACTAAAAGACATGATTCTGAATTGAAATTTTTAACAGTTTACGACAACAGGCTCTATTTTGCTAACCTTCTTTCAATGCGAAATTTTGTTCTACTGTCTGGCGCACGTGGATCTAAAGCACCAAGGGTATTTGGAAGCTGGTTTGCACAGCTTTCGCTGTCGATGGAGATCCATAACAGAGCAATATGGTGACCAGCCAAAGTACTGTTGCACTTGTCATTTTGGTTTGTGGTGAATTCGCCCCATTGCAAGTTCGCCCCTACCACCTTTGCGACTACGCCCCCAAACGTAAGAGAAGTTTGCCCCCTAAAGTAAAACAAGGTCAATCCCTGAAATAAAACAAGTTCGACCCCTAATATAAACAAGCTCACCCCCACTTTACCAGTTGGCCCCCAAATCTTTTGACTTGTTTCCCCACAAGTATACGACTAATGCACGAGTTATGAAAAGCCACTACGTTACTCCAGTCTTAATCATGATGGTGACGTCATCCATTCGTGCACATCTGATTCCATTTAAAGCACTTTACCACATGTAGGTAGTCATGTTGGCGCCTTTTAGAGTCTTCTTTGCTTGAAAATGGCATGAAGTGGCGAAGATTGCCAATAGAAAGGTCATAAAAATGATAAAATAAACTATGAAATCAAAGTAAACAATTTTTCATGAATATGATGGAAGTTAGCCTTGGAAGCTTTACATTTCTATAACAGTATGTCTTTTGTTGCGAAACACAAATATTCAGTCCTTTCGTAATCGTTAATTTTCGAATGATGGCAACAGCCACGCGCTCGTATTCGGACTGGCCTTTTGCCTCGCAATGGCCGCCCCCTCGGGCTACATTTGAACATCCCGTGTACAAGGTTTCACATTTTGCCCTTTTAACAAATAACATCGTAAGTTTTACGATTTGTTCTAAATATGAACAAAAAGGCTTGGACCAAAACTTTGAGTTCGCGCAAAACTCGAAATGAGACTAGTTATGCTTTTGGTAGGGAATGGCGTAGAACGTTAGTTTTTTTCATGCTCGACTGAGTAATATTGCTTCCATGCTCTTTCCAGCTGAATTGTGAGCCATGTCACTAATTGCACTTAACTTTTTATTGCCCGGCCATCACAAATGTTGCGATAGGTGAGAACTTTGATTTTAAAGACTAATGAAGTATTACAGGTCTTTGCGGATGGTTAAATGCTTTTAAACAGGTTCCATTGAGAACGCATTCAACCACATGTAGCTAAAATGACAAGATCTTCCAATTCTACAACGGAAAAAAGGTCCTTAGGAATTTTCCCGAATATTTTCTTCAAATGTTCCGTAGCTCTGGTTTGTATTATCTCGTTTTTCAGTGGGTACTTCCTGAATTCCTACAACTCGAGGAACCACTTCGAAGTTGGAACGAAAGCAAATCCGATTGTACGGAGAAATTCGCGTCGCTTGCGTCCTTATCGAGAGCAACTCTTGAATTCGTTCAAGGCAGAAAATCTAGAAGAAAATTTAAGGTGAGGAGACCAATTAATTCTTTCCAAATAGTACGATTTGCTGGCAAAGGATTAAGTTCCTAAGTAAAGGCTTTACCTAAAACCGACTGACCGCTGTTTGTTCTCCAACAGGTATTTTTCTAGTGAGCCACATTTTGCTGGTTCAAAACGCAACAATGATTTAGCCCACTACATTGCTAAGAAATGGCAAGAGTATGGCTTTGATGAAGTTAAAATGCCAAAGTATGATGTGCTCATGAGTTCTCCACGAAAAGATCGAGAGAGCAAAGTGGAAATTTATCGTAATGGCCGTGTAATCTTTAAATCACAGTCCCATGAAAAGGTGATGACGGTTTGTTAGTTGACTGCTTACTTATTTCGATTGCTTAGACTTTATACCTTTGCAAACCCTGGGAAATGTTAATGAAGTAAGCATCTTTGATCCACGCAAGTTGAGTGTTTATAGTTTCACATTTACCGTTAGGTCTTTGAGTCTTCTTTAATTTTACGCTTTAAGGAAAACCAACCAAAAACTAAATTTTTAGTAAGATGCAAAGTTTGTTGGGCGAAGGTGAATTTACTTGGATGATTCAGTCGTGTGTGACAATTCGAAACCTGGTGAAGGTGACATTTGACTTGACTTAGACTGAATTAAATTGAAATTCAAAGGGCTGAAGCTTATGGTGATATCATACTGCTTTGAACGCCTAATCGACTTTTCTGGTGGAAACCTGGCCAGAGTCGTTTTGTATTTTTTCTTCCTTTCTTTTAATTTGTATTTGAGAGACTGTTACAGTGCCCTTTTGGGGTGTAAGGGTGAATGTGTACCATTGATGGTACACTGATGTTTAACGGTTATCCGTTTGAGTTACACTGTAGAAACTTTCATGGTTGTGGTTTGCGTTTGATTACGATGCAGATTTAACTCTGAAAACGAATTATCTAAACCCAACATTTAATCGATTCATAGACTGACTCGACCAGAAAAGCGATGCTACTTTGCTTTTTGAAACCTACTGAAGAAAACAAAGAAGGATATCATTGCCTATCAGATTTACAGGAGAGCTTTTTTTCATGTTTGCAATTTCTCTTAAGTTTCTAGTCGAGGACACACTTTTGGATTGCTTATTCCTTTACTCTAAGGAGGAAACATTACTTCAATGCACTACCTCTCCAAGCACAGGCAGCCCAAGCTCACTACTAGAAAAGCGGACGTGACTCTTACCGTGTTGCGCAACATTTTATATTTATAAAGGTTTGTATGGAATGTTATCGGTTTGCCTTAAAAGAGAGAAAAAAATGTCTTGTTTTGAAATAAAATGGGCTTACCTTATTGCCTTCTTGTTTTCTTTGTTGATTCCTTGCGTCTCAGGCCATTTTGAAGCGTTTTCGGCGAGTTAGCGCTATGTTGGTGTTCAATTGAACACCAAAATAGCGCTAACTCGCCGAAAACGCTTCAAAATGGCCTGAGATGCTAGGAATCAACAAAGAAAACAAGAAATCATGATTATCTGAAGGTTTTCGAACTTACTCGAAGATCCCTGAATTTCTCAAGGCCTGTTTTTAACTTAAAACAACTTCGAAGATTTTCTGAGTGGTCTAATTACTACTATGTTGGTGTTCAACAGCAGTTGAACACCAACATAGCGCTAACTCGCCGAAAACGCTTCAAAATGGCCTGAGACGCAAGGAATCAACAAAGAAAACAAGAAGGCAATAAGGTAAGCCCATTTTATTTCAAAACAAGACATTTTTTTCTCTCTTTTAAGGCAAACCGATAACATCCCATACAAACCTTTATAAATATAAAACGTTGCGCAACACGGTAAGAGTCACGTCCGCTTTTCCAGTAGTGAGCTTGGGCTGCCTGTGTTCCAAGAATTGATTTAATGTTTACATTAACAATTTTTAAACACTCTCATGCAGAGAGGCAACGAGAATTTAGCAACTGATCAGTTTAAGCGTATTTCGATACAACACGAGTTAACAAAGAAATCCATCCAATAGCCAAGCTGTCTTTGGACTGCACCAGTGGCATATATGATTCTTTCACAACCACAACATGTCACATTTCTTGTTTATCTTAACAGGTTTTACGTGAAGATGAAAAGAAAAGCAAAGATCTCCCAATTTTTCTTGGTTATTCTCCCGGTGCGGTTGTGGAAGGTGAAGTTGTTTACGCCAACTTTGGCGCCGAAGACGATTTTAAGAAACTGAAAGCTATGGGAATTTCTGTGAAAAATAAGATTGTCATAGCACGACAGGGACGGATATTTAGAGGAAACAAGGTATGCATTCTGTATTCAGAACATTATAACCTTAGCGCAGATGTTACTGGGTTGTGAAGGGAGAGCTTTGTTGAATTTCTGTGTTTAACACTGCAATAGCAGTTGCACGGACGTAATTTAGTTCTTTTTCCGACATAAGTGGGTGCTTTGAGTCATGGCCATGAATGCGCACGCTGCAGGGTTGTTTCCTATTGGCGAATCTGCAAAAGTTGTCTATAAAAGTCTGTCGGCTTGATAAGATCAGAATCATGTGTGGCCTTCTCATTACTACATCTGTGTCAAGAAGCGCCGTACTCTAACGAGAAAAGGAGATTTCTGGTGCCAACGGAAGTTTAATGAAAGTCAGGCTAAAGAAAAGAACCAAACATGCGCTCCTTTCCCTTTACAGATATGTACGGTTTGCTGTTAAGAAATATGTTAAGGAACTATGTTTTTTTTCTACCCTTGAAAGATCTTCGAACTGGTTTTCAAGCAACTGTAGTCAAAAAAGTGTGTTTGAACTTTTCCTTCTCTGATTATTAGATAATTTATGATTAGATTTTAGAATAATTTCAGAGCTGAGCAAAGAGTTTCCAGCAATCGGATTGGTCGAGCGGTTCCTTATATGACGCTATATAAACCGCTCCACGCGGTTAAAATAAAATGTTAAAGTAAAATGTTAATAACTGTTACTAAAATGTTATGAATTTAGAAATTTCTCTTTTGTTCAGCTCTGAAATTATACTAAAACAATTATTCGCCTCGTGTTCGGTGAATATATATTTCTCATTAACCAAGCGCGAGGGCCGTACTGGGAGAATATCGGCGTGGGGTCTTGACAGCACGGACCTCGCTGCGCTCGGTCCTTACAAAAAAGACTGAGGGCTGATATTCTTCCAGTACGGTCCTGAGCAAGCTTGGTTAATAAGAGATTTATTATACGACAGAAGTTCAAAGGGACACAAGTGCGGTATCATTCGGGACCATTCGGGACAGTGCCCGGTCCAATACTTAGAGAATATTGACCGGCAATAGAGCATTTTTATTGGTTGATTTTATTTATTGGCCCTCTGACTGCCCGAGTCGTGTAATAATGTCGCATAATCCCCGAGACGAAGTCGAGGGGATTATTCGATGATATCCACCTCGCCTTCGGCGAATAATTTTTAAATATAAATTATTTTTCCCTAGGAAACTAGTGATATTTTTGATCGTGGTAGTCACCTAAACTTTATTCTTTCCCTAAGGTCTTCAATGCTCAGTCTCACGGCGCCTCTGGGGCCCTCATTTACACTGACCCTGCGCAGTTTGCACCAGAGGGAGACGGAAACACTTTTCCCAAGTCTTGGTGGCTTCCGGACTCCGGCACGCAGCGTGGATCAGCGATGAGTGTAACGGGGCCTGGTGATCCACTCACCCCAGGCTTTCCCTCTGTGAATGGTATATACCGACAGCCTCTTAATGACAGTGGTTTACCAAAAATTCCTGCCTTTGCTCTGTCTTATGGCGACGCCAAGGAAATATTACGGCGAATGAAAGGTTAGAGGTTTAGTGACGCCAGACTTTGGTTATTTATTCAGCGAGTCTCTACAATTAAAGAGGGACTCAGTTATTTGATAATACTGATTTCTCTTGTGTTTTACATGCAGTGACGCAGATTATAACTTCGGTGCACTTTTACACGGGCATTTGGTTCCCTCTTCCCGGTGTTTAATTTTCTCAAGCTTCGCCTCTTCACTTGTCAACTTTATCCACATCAGTAAAACTCAAAACTATGTTTGAAACTTCAAGTGATTTCATAAGACTCGAGAACTTGCTCATACTTGCTCATTAATTTTACAACTTAATTAGCTCTTGAGGGAGAAGCGCTTTCTGCTTGTCAGCGCGTTTGGAAGTTTGGATTAAGAGGTTTGAGAAAGAGAAAGTGGAACAAATTTCAGTGGTCGTTGGAGTTAATTTCGTAATAAGACTTCGGTTATTTACTTCTTTCCTTGTTAACCGTACCCGTATCTCCAGAATCCAATACAATATCTATAAAATTTTTACAACTTTACTCAACAGGTCCTGAGGCTCCGAAGAGCTGGCAAGGAGGCTTGCAACTCACTTACCACATCGGGCCGGGTTTTGAAGACAAAGATCTTTCATTACGCTTGGATACTAAAAATAACATTGAGAATATAACTATTACGAACGTCATTGGCCAGATCAGAGGCACCGAAGAACCTGACCGTTATGTACTCCTAGGAAACCATCGGGACGCTTGGGTGTTTGGTGCTGCTGATGCGGTCAGCGGTACAGCTGCAATGATGGAGTTGTCACGTGGTCTGGGAGAGCTGCTTAAAACAGGATGGCGGCCACGCCGGACCATAATGCTTTGCAGCTGGGACGCCGAGGAGGTCTTTGTGGTGGGATCAGCCGAATGGGTTGAAGAAAATGCTCGAACTCTTCAAGATCGCGCTGTTGCTTACCTCAACATGGACGTGGCTGTCAATGGCAATTTCAGTATCAACGTTGATGCAAATCCTCTACTCCAAGACGTGGCTCTGTCGTTGACCAAAGAAGTATGTGATCCAACAGTTCCGGAAACTTGCAGAAGCATGTATGATGTTATGTTAGAGAGAGATGTTACGAAACACCTGAACGGGTTCCCATTCTGCGAGAATTTGTCGTTCGGAAGTGACTACGTGTCGTTTTATCATTTCATCGGAGTTTCTTGTGCGGATTGGTCTTACATTTTCGGGGGACTGTATGGAATAAGGCGTTCGTATCCAGCTTATCATTCCATTCACGATTCATTTTACTGGATGAAAAGCTTTGTCGATCCCGAGTTCAAGACTCACTTAGCCGTAACAAAATACGCAGGGATTTTCCTTCTTAAATTAGCAGACGCGGAGCTCTTGCCTTTCAACACTACAACCTATGCAAAACTATTACAGAAAAAATCCACTGTTATAAAAAAGAGCAAACATCTAAAAAAACACAGTATCAGCACGGCTGCTTTCTCTCGCGCAGTAAAGAACTTCGCAAATGTTGCGCGTCAGTTTGAAAGCAGTAAGTCAAAACAGAAACCAGAGAGCTACCGCACGTTAAACGATCAAATGGTACAACTAGAGAAAGCGTTTATACAAACTGTGGAAGTGAATGATCATAAACAATTACGACATGTTATTTATGGGCCGCTGCTCGCCAATCTTTACGACGGTATATATTTCCCACGCGTACATTATGCCACGATGAAGGCTGAAAAGACAGGAGACTGGAAATTGGTAGAGAAAGAAATATCACTGTTGACTTTTGCTATAAACTCTGCCTCGAAGGTTTTGAAACCAATATGATAAACAAGATAACTGTAGTGTAGGACTGATTTTATTATGCGAAGAAGCACTGTGGATAAATTGCTCTCTTTCTGAGCTTTTTGGTTCATGGAAATCTGTATTGTGGGTCTGATTTTATTATGCGGGGAAGGACTGTGGATAAACTGCTCTCTTTTCTGAACTGTTTTGTTTATGCTGGCTTGAAATTTGCTAAGTTCTTTTTCGATATTTTCGCGGACCTAGGCTTATTTGAGATTTATCAAAACACGATAGTGAAAAAGGGCAGTTTACAGTCATCGGAACTGAAAAAGCTAATCAGTGAAGTTCATATTTGATCAAAAGGATACACTGTAGAATTTAGCCTTGTCGCAAAATGTATTCGCAAGAATCTCCTAAAATTTGTTTGTTTTTATTGTGTCGATGAGTAGTAATATTCATGGATTATTAAGTGCGTTTAATCTAGCCTAGGAATGGGTATTTTTTCTTGGGGTAATAAAATTCAGGGCATTATGAAACCTGTGACATCAAAATGGTGGTGCGGCTCGCAGTTCTGATTTGTTGTAACTTATGTCGTTCGATCAAATGGGGACAATTTTTCTACATATCGACCGAAGGAAGAAAACCTGCGGGACTCTCGCGTGAAATCGAGACGAATCAGTCAAAGATGGCGTCGAAGAGCTGAAAGGGTCTGGCTTCGGATCGATATCCGTGGGACTGAAAGAACATGAAGGACAAGCGTTCTCCTACCTCGAACACAATTAGAAGAAAAGGAAGCGAAAGTGTAAGAAAATTTTGTGTTCACGTTTACCGTAAACATACATGGTCCTGTAGTATTCAAAATGCTTTTATTGGCGTAAATTCACTTTTAAGTGAATTATTTAAAAGGACGTAAAAACAGCAGAGTGACAATAACTCTCAAAAAAGAAACAACAACTTTGAGTTTAAATTTACAAGACATGTTTCGACATTCTCATGTCATCTTCAGTTGCAAATGAGCATTTAACTGTTGTACATTTGAATCTAAATTAAGGTACGTTACAAACTACGTGTCAGGGCTTACGTTACATTTGAATGTTAAAAACGCGAANTTTTTATTATTATTACATTTATTTTTTTTATTTATCTATTTATTTTTTGATCTAGTCAAGCACGCGCTATTTACGTCGTTCGCGTTTTTAACATTCAAATGTAACGTAACCCTGACACGTAGTTTGTAACGTACCTTAATTTAAATTCAGATGTACAACAGTTAAATGCTCATTTGCAACTGATGATGAAATGAGAATGTCGAAACATGTCTTGTAAATTTAAACTCAAAATTATTTAAAGATAATTATATTTTAGAGAATGCTTACAGCAATTCCTAATTCGTTTAAGAGATGTCTTGCGAGAGCACTTCACTTAAATAGCACACGAGGAAATTATTAAGCTACTCATTAAAGTGCTCAGAGTACATTCTGTCAAAACCCATAAAGACTGTTAGGACCAGTTACTAAAAAACATTTGAACTCTTTTTCTTCCAAACCGCGCTGTAATCAATCTTGAGTCAAACAGAAAAATTCACCTAATCGTTAGCATTTTACAAAACTGTCAAACGGGTTTCTATTTTAGCACCAGAAGTAAAATCTAATTTCTTAAAAAAAAAAAAAGAAAAGAAAAAGCACAGACAAACAAACAAATAAGGAACTTTCAAAGTTTTGATCGTCCAAAAACCGCGGCCTAATCGAAACCTTGTTTCAGTAACCGACCCTTAATGTCTTCTCTGTACTAGTTAGCAGGGGGCGTGTTAATGAACCCACAAACTTCTCGCATTGAGTAGAGAAAGTGACTCCCGCTGTTATGGTCTGTCCTTGTTTTGTTTATACAAGCTACCCATTTAAAGCAGCCTGTCAAACTATCGCAAATAGATAATTGGGAGCTAGCTGGCCGAGCAACCCTAGTTGTTGATGCGAGTGTCTCAGTTACAAGGATCTGGGCCTGAGGTGACACAAGTAAATTAAGTTCAGGCTTCCTTTCGATCACACTCTTCTTCGGCTGTTGTCTCTGATAGTATCATTAAGTAAGTCATTCATTTCTATTTTAATGACGGTGAAGACTAAAATTGAGCTTTTCTGAAGCAATTAACCCCCATTGAGCAGTGACGCACAGAGAGACTCGCAGTTGACTATTTCATCTAATAGTAGAAGAGCTGTCCCACACGAACGGCCAACCATAGGCCTACGCTGGGGCCTATAGTCGCCGTAACTTTGGGCGATTTAAGGCGACTTAAGCAAATTGGTAGAAAAAACGTTGCGACATTAGTCGATTTAAGGCGATTTAAAGCGATTTTATTTGACTGAAGTGATAAAATCAAAGTTAGCAACAGCCTCCATAAAACTTAAAAATATTTAGAGACTCCCTTGCAATAAACACAATATGATTAGAGTGGGGTGATTGGGGTCAATTGGGAAGGATGGAACCCTTTTAACATTGCGTAACCAAGAGCGACTTGAGGCGACTTTAGGCGACTTGAGGCAACTTAAGGTCCCAGAGTAGGCCTAACCATGGTTTCTCAGTGATTAAGTTACCTTAAAAGTTCATGCCTAAAAGGGAATACGTAACGGATAGATATAAGGGAAAAAATAAAAACCAGAAATAAATCCAAACGAATAAACATCTGGAAAACAAACAAAACAAAAAATTTTCTTCCGGGTAGCGGGAAGTTCAGTAAGAGCAAAGTTTCTATCCGGGCTTGGATCTGGACTCGATTTTGAGCCGCTCTAGTTTGGAGCCTTACTGAACCAATACGCTAGCACACATATGTTACATTTCTGCCATAGGGCCCACAAAGATTATGTTTTTATTAAAATATCGCAAAGGAAACCAATTCAAACTAGTTCCGATTAAAAGATGAAAACTATGGTTGTCTCATATGGGTTTCAGAATATTTGCAGCAGATGTTAAGGCCTCTGTCAGCAAAGATATTTCTTTTTCGACCAGTTTCCAATCTCCTGATTTTTTCGCCTTGATCATGGCATAATGTACTCGCGGAAAGTACAAGTCACCGTACAGATTTTCGTCGTTGAGGCCATAAATAACATGTCTGGACAGTTTCCAGTCGTTTACTTCCACAGTTTGTATGAATGCTTTCTCGACTTGCATCATTTGATCATTCAGGATATGGTAGTTCTCTGGTTTCTCTTTTAACCTGCCACTTTCAAACTGACGTAAAACTTTCGCAAAGCTCCTCACAGCGCGTGAAAAAGCAACCGTGCTGACGTTATGCGCCCAGAGTTTAGCATTCTTTTCCAAGAGAATGGCCTTTGGTTGTAAGGATTCCCCGTAACCGCTGATAGGATCGGCAACACCAAATACCCAGGCGTCTCGATGATTTCCCATGAGTACATAACGGTCGGGTTCTACAGTGCCTCTGATCTGGCCAATCACATTGTAGATGGGTTTAGTTTCCAAGCTGTTGTTGACCTTAAGGCGCTAAGTAAGACTTTTGTCTTTAAATCCAGGTCCAATATAGTAGGTTAACTGCAAACCTCCTTGCCAACTCTTTGGTGTCTCAAGACCTGTCATGTAAAAAAAAAAAATCATTTTAATCGTGGAGATAGAAAAGTTTAGAAAATTAATAACTTTCAGTGTCACTTTTTCTATTGAAGCCGTTCCCACTCCTCGGATGTACATGGTCGTAAATCAAGAGGCGAAATTGGCAAGGAAAAGCATACCATGAAAGGCAAAAAGTCGTCGTCTTCACACGCCTAAGTTTTCTGCAGACTTTCGTTTTCAGAATTATCGTAACAATTTCGCCAGAAAGGTTTCCTTACTACATAGGATAGAAAAATTCAGTCTTCTTTGTCCTCCAAGCCCTAAGTGACACCCTTTCTTCCCCTTCCTATGCCAAAAGAGTACTGACCTTTCATTTGATGTTGTATTTCTCGCGCATCCCCATAAGATAGAACAAAGGCCGGGATTGGCAATGAATCACTGCCATTTAGTGCTTCTCGGTATATAACATCCACAGAGGGAAAGCCCGGGGTAAGTGGGAAACCAGGCCCCGTTACCTTTCTTGCTGATCCACGTTGGGTCCCAGAGTCAGGAAGCCACCACGAGGCAGGGAAAGTATTGTTGGTTCCCTCTGGTGCTTACTGTTCAGGATCGTTATAGATGATGACCGCAGATGCGCCGTGTGAGGCAGCATTGAGGACCTTTAGAAAAAATCGTGCGCCGTTAGGAACACTGGCATAGCGGTTAGGAAGTCCATTTTAAGGAGATGATGTCACACTGCGGTTCGAAAATACATTCTTGGAGAACAGAGCAAATGTTTGTTTAACAGTGGTGCTCCCCTCCCAGTGGTTGAATGTATAGGATCTTCTATGATGAGGTGCCCGTATGCAGAGATTCTACAACTGTGTTAGTCATGACAACTGACCTAACCATGCTGAAGATGAAGTCTCCTTGGGCGAAAGACACTATAGAAAGTTTCGTTGGCTTTTTAGGGACGGTTTGCAATGAATTATGTCGTGTAATTATCCAATTGACCAGATCCTCGTAAGGCTTTGTTAGATCCTTCTGATCCCTCTCTCATTGGCAGCTGATTGGCAGTCAATTTTCTATAGGCCCTCCCTAACGGATGATGAATAATTAAAGGTCCCTTAAGTCAATTACAAAATACATACCTTGTTTCCTCTATACACCTTGCTTGCTCACACAAGAACAATTCTATTTCTTGCGGACACGCCCACGGCTTTCAAATGCATGAAATTCTCTTTGGTTCCAAAGTCAGCGTATACAACTTCTCCTTCTACCACCCCATTGGGGGAATGAGCCAGCAGAATGTGGGTATCTTTACCTTTCTTTTCATCTTCACCTAAAATCTGTTGGTGAAATATTTGAGCATTTGAAGTATTAAAACCGAGCGATGGGTAATAAAAAAATTTTTCTGTTTACATTGGTCTGTCAAGCGATGACGAAAAGTAAAGCGGTCCAAAAAGCAGCTGGCCTGAAACTGGGGATGTGCCTTTACTTTTGGCCAATATCCATGCATCCACCAACTTCGTCGTTAAGAAGAGGAATGGCCTCGGGAAGGAGTTTCTGGTATACCTGATTAACGTTAGAGAAGGGTGCCGCAGGCTTCCGAATTACCCATATCAGCCCGTTCCTATATGCATCTCACCTAAAAGGGAATGTCAATCGCTATGTGCATTTTAATCTAAAGTACATGTTTGTAAAGATTGATTTCGAAGTCCACTCCGCTGAATTTGCATTAATTCCAGCCAAAGCTGGTTTCCCTTCTCCTGTCTAGTCATTTACTACCGATTTCTATAAACCCGCTGATAACTCAACTAATTTCCCATCTTGCTTAACTGAACGAAAATAATCGGAATTCCCTTATATCTATTCTACAAGAGGATGGGTATCATCTATTTAAAAGAGGGAAAAAAACGGTAGGTCTTCATACCTCTCTGCAGGGTCCGATCATAGAGGAAAAGCTGCCATTTGCTTATGAGGTGGAATGATTCAAATTAGCTATTAACACGTAAACCCTTAGGAATGACCAGAATCTAAGTTATCCTTACAGTTCTCCAGATTGTGATTTAAAGATTACTCCTGAATCTAATATTTGGGTCATAAGAATGAACAATTGGATAGTGTTAAAGAAACGCTTGGTTGTTAAACGGATTCTCCTTGCCAGTACCGTTGGAAATGTATCGAGAACCGTGTGGAGAATATGCAAANTACACGGCCATTAAGATGAATTTCCACTTTGCTCTCTCGATCTTTACTTGGTGAACTCATGAGCACATCATACTTGGCATTTTAACGTCATCAAAGCCATACTCTCGCAATTTCTTAGCAATGTAGTGGGCTAAGTCGTTGTTGCGTTTCAAACCAGCAAAATGTGGCTCACTTAAAAAATACCTCTAAATTAAACAAAACAATGGAAAAAGTCGTGGGGGGATTCACGTGCAATAAACTACTGCCACAGTTACATGGAAAAATCGACCCACGACAGTTTTCGCCGTAGAGGCCACTCGACAACAGATGCCCTTCTATTCGTGTTACAAGCCATTTACGAGGCAGTAGATTGTGCTGATCTAGGAACCCGGGTCTTCTTCGCTGACTTCGAAAGGTTTTGATCTAATTGGCCATAACTTCTTAATGACTGAGTTGCGAAAACTAGAGATTGATCAAGAGCTCATCAGTTGGATTCCAGAGTTCCTACATCACTATCAGATTGGAAATTCCTCAAGGGAGGTGTGCCGCAGGGAACTAAATTAGGAGTGATACTTTTCACAATAATGACAAACAATCTTTTTATCACGAAACCCGCGTGTCTCTACTAAAACGGGACTGAAGCTCCGCGTGACGTCGCGCTAGTTTGCTGACGAGATTGATGGGGGATAAAAATAATAACTGCTGATGTGGGATAAATTGGCCACAATAGTGAGGCTTTTTTTTCACCCGACATCAAGAACATTGATATAATAAACATCACGCAATCTCTTAAGCAAAGGTGGGGTTAAATATCGGCAAAGAGCCAAATACGTATAAAAAGGCAACGAAAGCCTGAAGAGAAGGCCGGAGCATGGGAAGGGGGCAGGAAAATTCTTCTTCAGTACCGAAAGTCTGTGTTCGGATGTTAACACGATGGAAATGAAGGCGAGAAGGACCAGAAGAGAAACTGATCTTGCCTATAACCTTGGTGCTATTTGATCTGACCTCATTTGATTGGCTTAAGATCTGTGATTGACAACGCTCCTTGCCCCATGCAAAGGCACACCTAAATACTTAACTCTATATATGACGGGCCTCTAGATAAAATCACATTACGCTTATTTCATAATGTTGGCCTTTAGCTGACTGGCATCTGAGAGTCAAGGTTATCTGTCTGACAAAATTGATTCCATACAGAAAAGGGCGCATAAGATAATTTTCCCGAGTGCTGATAGCTACTCAGATGCCGTCGGGGTGGAGACCCTTGCGTATAGAAGAGATAAGATATGTAAAGAGTACATGTGAAAAATGAAGGACTTACACCACCCTCTTCATCCTCTTCTACCAACACGCTTAGACGATACCTGTCCCTAGCGCTACACTCCCAGGTACAAATCAGACCAGCTGTACCTTTACAGAAACGTTACCTGTAGAACGAAGCGCGCCTAAAACTTTTTCACTTTTAAGTATTTTTAACAAATGTGATGCATGTTCTGCTGTGGTGTATATAACTTGTACTTAATGTATACAGAAATGTACGTAGTCGATCTTATTAAGTTTTCATTGTATTATAACTCGTTAATCCACTAAGTTACTGCCAGAGACTTTAATAAACTGTTATTATTGTTATTATTTACTATAACAATTAACCAACTAAGAACTATCCCACACGAACGGGCAACTATGTTTTCTCAGTCATGAAGTTGCCTTTATGCCTAAAAGGGAATACGTTACTAATAGATACAAGAGAAAAACAAAACAATAGAAATAAATCCAGAAAACATCTGGCAAACGAGCAAAACTCTGGTGAATTGTAAAAACAGCTTGGTTTGCAGAGCTCGAGTGTTCATCCCGATTTCGGAATCATGGTACGACGGAGTCTAACCTCCTGCTTTTTGTTCGGCCTCCTTTACAGTTCTTATGTGCTGTATTTGTTTTCTTCCGGGTAGGGAGAAGCACGTACAGTAAGAGCAAAGTTTCTTTCCGGGCTTTGACCTACATTGAATCCTTAACCGCTCTATAGTTTGAAACCTAAACCCATATGCTAACACACACATATTGCATTTCGGCCACAGGGTGTATGAAAAAGGGGTTTCTCTAGCTGGCAGCTATCATTCACAGGGCATGATGATACTGTTTTATACTGCTCATCCTCCAAAGCCTTTGTCATTCAAGACAAGCTGATTGCTAATCTGTCTAAAATTGAACACTGGCTTTCTTTCAATAGTCTGTTTATTAACGTAACAAAAACTGAAGCTATGCTTTTCGGAACTGCCCCTAGATTATCTGCCGTAGACCTCTTTTTCTATTAGTTTAACTAACGATGTTATTAAGCGGGTTTTTCACTTCATTTATCTCGGTATAGTTTTTGATGACTGCCCTAGCTGGAACAAGCAAATAAAGCAGCTTATTTCGAAGGCGGGAAAACGCGTAGGAATGCTCGGCAGGCTTTGTAGAAGCCTCACTAGAGAGCGTGCAAATAATTTATTGTAGTCTAATTAGGCCAATTTTAGAATACTGTGTAAGTGTGAGGGGCTGCAGCGGAAAAGGTCTCAAACAAGGCCTTGAAGCCCTCCAAAACCGCGCTGCCAGAATAATTGCAAGAACTGTAGGCAGCAACCCGGCAATGGACGTTCTGATATGGCCCACGCTGGAGGAGCGCCGTCGTAAAACTGTTTTGAAACTCGTTAAGAAATGCCTGCAAGGTCAATGTCCCCAATATTTCAAAAAATATTTTAAACGTAATGATACAATCTACGTGCGCGCCACTAGACAAAGCAACCTTTTACATCCGCCTGCTGTGAGGACTGAGATCACAAAGCAATCTTTCTATAACTAGGGTTGCATTCTTTTTAACGAACTATCTTGATGGTATTTCGTCTTTATTTCCTTCTAAATCTTTTATTTGCTCATAGTTTTCTATTTATATTATTATCAGTATCGTGTAATGCATGTATATACTATAGATTTAGTACATTGTTGTGCTCAGGGCTCCCATTGATAACAGACAGCTTTTTGTATTTGAATGGGCTACCCTGAGCGGTATAAATCAATAAAGGTTCTTCTTTTTCTTCTTCTTCATGACAATATCACGANTCATGGCATAATGTACTCGCGGAAAGTACAAGTCACCGTACAGATTTTCGTCGTTGAGGCCATATATTACATGTCTGGACAGTTTCCAGTCGTTTACTTCCACAGTTTGTATAAACGCTTTCTCGACTTGCATCATTTGATCATTCAGGATGCGGTAGTTCTCTGGTTTCTCTTTTAACTTGCCTCTTTCAAAATGATGCGAAACTTTCGCAAAGCTCCTGACTGCACGAGAAAAAGCAGCCGTGCTGATGTTATGCACCCTGAGTGTAGCATTCTTTTCTAAGAGAACGGCCTTTGATTGTAAGACTTCTCCGTAAGTAGTTGTATTGAGAGGTAAGAGTTCAGAATCGGAAAGTTTGAGAAGAAACGCCCCTGCAAATTTTGTCACGGCCAGATGAGTTTGAAACTCGGGATCAACAAAAGTTTTCATCCAGTAAAACGTGTCATGCACGGAGTGATAAACGGGATACGCTCTCCTGATGTTGTACCTTCCTCCAAAGATATAAGACCACTCTGCGCAGGAAATTCCAAGGAAATAATAAAACGCGCCATAATCACTACCAAATGTTATATCACCACATACTGCGCTGCCATTAACATGTCTAGTAACATCTCTCTCTAACATGACTTCGTACATGCTTTTGCAAGTATCTGGAACTGTTGGATCACAAATTTCTTTGGTCAACCGAACAGCCAACTGTTTGAGTAGAGGACTGGCATTGACATTAAGACTGAAATTACCATTAACAGCTTGGTCTATGTTGAGATAAGCAACAGCGCGAGTTTGAAGAATTTGAGCATTTTCCTCGACCCATTCTGTCGATCCAAAAGCACCATTTTCTTCTGCGTCCCAGCTGCAAAGCATTATTGTCCGGCGTGGCCTCCATCCTTTTTCAATTAACTTTCCTAGTCCACGTGATAATTCCATTAACACAGCCGTACCGCTGACAGGATCGGCAGCACCAAATACCCAGGCGTCTCGATGATTTCCCATGAGTACATAACGGTCGGGTTCTACAGTGCCTCTGATCTGGCCAATCACATTGTAGATAGTTTTGATTTCCAAGCTGTTGTTGACCTTAACACGCAAAGTAAGACTTTTGTCTTTAAATCCAGGTCCAATATAGTAGGTTAAATGCAAACCTCCTTGCCAACTCTTTGGTGCTTTAAGACCTGTCATGTTAAAAAGAAAATTCATTTTAATCGTGGAGATAGAGAAAGTTTATAAAATTAATGACTTTCGATTCCTTACACGCCTAAGTTTTCTGCAGACTTTCGTTTTCAAAATTATCGTAACAGTTTAGCCAAAAAGGTTTTCTTGCTACATAGGGTAGAAAACCTCAGTTTTCTTTGTCCTCGACAGACTAGTTAGGGCTCTCAGCCCTAAGTAACACCCCCTTTTCTCCCTCCTATGCCAAAAGGGTACTGACCTTTCATTCGACGTAGTATTTCTCGCGCATCCCCATAAGATAGAACAAAGGCCGGGATAGGCAATGAATCACTGTCATTTAGTGCTTCTCGGTATATACCATCCACAGAGGGAAAGCCCGGGGTATGTGGGTCACCAGGCCCCGTTACCTTTCTTGCTGATCCTCGTTGGGTCCCAGAGTCAGGAAGCCACCACGAGTTAGGGAAAGTGTTGTTGGTTCCCTCTGGTGCATACTGTTCAGGATCGTTATAGATGATGACTGCAGATGCGCCGTGTGAGGCAGCATTGAGGACCTTTAGAAAAAATCGTGCGACGTTAGGAACACTAACTGACATAGCGGTTAGGAAGTCCATTCTGATTGGATGATGTCACACTGCGGGTCAAAAAATAACATTCGTAGGGAACAGAGCAAATGTTTGTTTAACAGTGGTGCTCCCCTCTCGGAGGTTGAATGTATAGGATCTTCTATGACGAGATGCCCGTAAGCAGAGATTCCGCGACTTTGTTAGTCAGGAAAACTTGACCTATCCCTGCTGAAGATGAAGTCTGCTTGGGCGAAAGACGCTATAGAAAGTTTTGTAGGCTCTTTAAGGACGGTTTGGAATGAATTTGGTTGTCTCATTATCCAATTGACCACATCCCCCCAAAGGCTGTGTGAAATCTTTTTTATCCCTCTTTCATTGGCAGCTCATTGGCAGTCAATTTTCCATAGTCCCTCCCTAACAGATGATAAGTAATTACTGGTCCCTCAAGTCAATTACAAAATACATACCTTGTTTCCTCTATACATCTTGCTTAGTCGCACAAGAACAATTCTATTTTTTACGGACACGCCCACGGCTTTCAAATGCATAAAATTCTCTTTGGTGCCAAAGTCAGCGTACACAACTTCTCCTTCTACCATCCCATTAGGGGAATGAGCCAGCAGAATTTGCGTATCTTTACCTTTCTTTTCATCTTCACGTAAAATCTATTGGTGAAATGTTTGAGCGTTAGAAGTGTTAAAACCGAGCGATGGGTAATAAAAAAAAATAATAAATGTTTATAGTGGTCTGTCATGCAAGTGATGACGGAAAGTTAAAGCAGAAAAGCGGTCCAAAAAGCAGCTAGTTTGAAACTGAGGAGGTGCCTTAACTTTTGGCCAATTTTCTTCCATGCACC